ATAGTAGGAACTGCCCATGCTGGAGTCTGAGATAACACGGTGTAGAGCTGGATGAACACAGCAGGCCAGGCAGCATCAGAGGAGCAGGAAAGCTGACGTTTTGGGTTGGCACCCTTCTTCCCCTCCCCCATTTCTGAAGGGGACTCTGAAATAAATAGAGAGAGGGGGGGGAGGCCACTGATGTCTAGTCTTGTTCTTTACAGATCTGTATTTGATTAATTTGAACTCCTGAAACAGAACATAGAACATAGAACTGTACTGCAGGAACGGGCCGTTAGGCCTGCCATAATGTGGCGAACATGACGCCAAATGAAACTAATCTCTTCTGCCTGCCTTAGGTCCATATCCCTCCATTCCTTGCGTATTCGTGTGCCTGTCTAAACATACCTTAAATGCCGCTATTGTATCTGTCTCCCCACCACCCCTGGCAGTGTGTTCCAGACTCCTACCACTCTGTGCAAAAAAAATTGCCCCTCATGTTTCCTTTAAACCTTCCCCCTCTAACCTTAAATCATGCTCCCTAGTTTTAGACATTTCAACACTGGGAAAAGATTCTGACCTTCAACCCTGTCTATGCATCTCATAATTTTATAGACTTCTATCAAGTCTCCCCTCAAACTGCGCCACTCTAGACAAAACAACCCGAGTTTTTCTACCCTCTCCTTATAGCTCATACCCTCTAATCGAGGCAGCATCCTGCACCCTCTCCTAGCCTCCACATCTTTCCTGTAATGTGGCAACCAGAATTGAATGCAATACCCTAAATGTGGCCTAACCAAAGTCTTGTAAAGCTGCAGTACCACATCCTGACTCTTGTACTCAATTCCCTGACCAATAAAGGCAAGCATGCCATATGCCTTCTTTACCACCCTATCAACTTGTGTGGCTACTTTCAGGGAATTATGGACTTGAACCCTAAGATCCTTCTGAACTTCAATGCTGTTCAGTGTCCTGCCATTAACTGTATACTTTTCCTTAACATTTGATCTCCCAAAGTGCAGCACCTGGCGCTTACCCAGACTAAACTCTGTCTGCTATTTCTCCATCCATATCTGCAACTAGTCTATATCCTGCTGTATCCTTTGACAACTTCCTACACTATCCACAACTCCACCAATCTTTGCATCGTCTGCAACCTTACTAACCCACCCATCTATATTTTCATCCAAGTCATTTACATATTTGCAAACAGCAGAGATCTTTGTACGGATCCTTACAGAACACCACTAGTCACTGACTTCCAGCCTGAAAAACACCCTTCCATCAATACCCTCTGTCTTCTATGGGCAAGCCAATTCTGAATCCACACGGCCAGGTCACCATGGATCCCATGCATCTTAATCTTTTGGATGAACCTACCGTGAAGGACCTTGTCGAAGGCCCTATAAAATCCATGCAGACAACATTCACTGCTCTACCGTCATCGATCACCTTTGTCACCTCTTCAAACTTCATTCAAGTTAGTAAGACATGACCCGCCCTGCACAAAGCCATTGTGACTGTTACTAATTAGGCTATGATTTTCCAAAGATATGTAATTCCTTCCCTAAGAATTCTCTCCAATAGCTTCCAACTTCCAATGTGAGACTCACCAATTTGTAGTTTCCTGGATTATTCCTATTTCCCTTCTTGAACAGAGGAACAACATTATCTACTTGCCAGTTCTCTGAGACCTCTCCAGTGGCTAGCAAGAGTACAAAGATCTTGGTCAAGGCCCCAGCAGTCTCCTGTCTTGCCTCTCTCAATAACCTAGGGTAGATACGATCAGGCCCTGGCAACTTATCCAACTTAATGCTCTTCAAGAGACCTAACACCACTTCTTTCTTGATCTCAAAATGCTGTGTAGGATATTAGCATGCTGAACAAAATTTTCACTGTCCTCCATATCCCTCTCCTGGGTGATTACTGATGCAAAGTACTCATTTAGGATCTTACCCACATCCTCTGCGTCCATGCGCAAGTTCCTTCCTTTATCCTTGAGTGGTCCTACCTTCTCCCTACTTATCCTCTTGTTTTTAATGTATCTATAGAATGTCTTGGGATTCTCTTTAGCTCGACTTGCCAAGGCCATTTCATGGCCCCTTCTTGCTCTCCTAATTCCCTACTTGAGTATTCTACTGCTTTCCTTATATTCCTTGTGGGCCCTGTCCTATTTTAGCTTCCTAAACCTAAATATGCTTCTTTTTCCTTTTTGACTAAATTCGCCCTTACCTTGTCCTTCCTCCTTACTGGAACATGCCAGTCTTGAACTCTCCCCAGCAGGTCTTTAAACAGTTCCCACGTGTCAAATGTGGACTTGCCTGCTAACAGCTCCTCCCAATTAATACTCCCTAGCTCCTGCCTAATACTGATGTAATTTGCCCCCCGTCCCGCCCAATTTAGTACTTTCTGGTAAGATCCTGACTTATCCTTGTTCATAGCTATCTTAAAAGTTAAGGAGTTGTGATCACTGTTACTAAAATGCTCTCCCACTGAAAGGCCAGTCACCTGGCCAGGCTCATAAACCAATACAATACAAGCCAATGGTCATTGTCATACAGTCATACAGCACAGAAACTTCCCCTTCGATCCAATCAGTCCATGCCAAACATAATCCCAAACTAAACCAGTCCCAGCTGCTTTCTCCTGGTCCATATCCCTCCAAATCTCTCCTCTTCATATATCCATCCAAATGTCTTTTAAACATTGTAATTGTACCCACATCCACACACGAACCACCCTCTGTGTAAAAGAAAAGCCTCACGTCTTTTTGAAATCTCTCTCCTCTCACCTTAAAAATGTGCCTCCTCCTAGCTTTGAAAATCATCAGGATCCTTCCACTCACTTTGTTGCAGAGAATGATTGCATATACTCTAGTGTATAATGTAAAAAATAAGCTTGAAATTGTTGGGTTTGTACACTTCAGTAAAAATTTCCAAAGTCTCTGACTAGTGTTTGAATTTTTAGGACATATTGACTTCTGTATAATTGGTAACAGAATTTTACGCAATCAACTACCAAGCAAACTATAATTCATTCCAAGCCCCATTGTATGGTTAAATATATACAGAATAATTTCTTGTGTCATGCTTTCAGAAAAGTAAAATCTCACTTCATTCATTCATTCCTACATATAGACCCATCTATTTCTTGATTATGACCACCAAGACAGCAAAATTACTACAAAATTTTCCAAATACATTGCTTCCCTATTCTGGCAGCTCAAATTCCAATAGAGACACAGAGTTATAGAGCACAGAAACAGAGCCTTCTCTCCAACTTATTTGCACTGACCAGATATCCTAAACTGATCTAGCCCCATTTGCCAACATTTGGCCCATATCCCTTTAAATCCTTCCTATTCATGTATCTATCTGGATGCCTTTTAAACGTTGTAATTGTACCCATCTCTGACACCTCCTCAAGCTGTTCGATCCATGCATGCACACTCTGCATGAAAAAGTTGTTTCTCAGGTCCCTTTTAAATCTTTCCCCTCTCATCTTAAACCTATGCTCTCTAGTTTCGGACTTCCCTACCTTAAGAAGATCTTGGCTATTCACCTTATACTTGCCCCTCATGAATTTATAAACCTCCATCAGGTTACCCCTCAGACTTCGACACCTCAGGGAAAAATGCCCCAAGCTTTTTAATCCTCTGTCTGTAGCTGAAATCTTCTGGCCCTGGCAACATCCTTGTAAATCTTTTCTGAACCCTTTCAAGTTTAACACCATCTTTCCTGTAGCAGAGAGACCAGAACTGAACCCAATATTCTAAAAGTGGCCTAACCAATGTCCTGTTAATCCACAACATGATGTCTTAACTCCTATGCTCAATGCACTGACCAATGAAAGCAAGTGTGCCAAACACTTTCTTTGCTATCCTGTCTACCTGCAACTCCATTTTCAAGGAAAAGAACAAAGAGGAGTACAGCACAGCAACAGGACCTTCAGTCCACTAAGACTGCGCCGACACATGATCCCCTTCTAAACTTGAAAACTTTTTGCGCCCACATGGTCCATAACCCTCTATTTCCTGCCCATTCATCTTTCTTTAGAGATGCTGCTTAAATGATGCTATTGTAGCCACCTCCAGCACCATCTCTTGCAGCACATTCAGGGCACTGAACAGCCTGTAGAGTGGGGAAAATGGCATCCTGTGCTGCAATGCTGTCGTCACTTTGCTCATCTGCTTTATAGACTTTTCTCATACTGAACAAAGCTTTGTCTTAGATATTGGCTTGGCAAAATACTTTGGTAATAAACAAGTACTTTGGTAATAAGTAAGTACTAAAGGGTCAGTGTTTTGTCACTCACCTCTATTTGGTTGGCAACCTGTTCATTTCTGTTACTGGGCAAACTTTACTCAAAGACTGAGGCACCCATATCAAAAGTTGGTAATTAGCATTTTAAAGCACAAAAATTTACAGTAGTTGTGATGCTAATATGTGCCAGATTAGAATGTTACATTCAATAGAGTCAGAGCTGTACTGAAATTATGACAAAAAGTGAAGTTACACCAGCACTGTAACTTTCTTGCGGAATAGGGTAATTTGCCTGCTATTTGATTTTGACAGGAAGTGGTGCGATTGACAAAATTATTTAAGAGTTGCAAATTTATCCAAAAGAAGGCTCTTGCCAGGTTTTCAGTTTACTTAAGATTTTTCCATCTCTTCACTCCTGAATTTGACTTTGAATGCAATCGTTTGCATTTTTGTCCCTTGCACAGCTAAGGTGACAGTAAGTGGAAGGAAAGATTAGAATTAACGATTAAAAAATTACAAACTGCTGTGGCTACTGCTACTTTGGATTCTCAATACTTGTATGTGTAATTATTTTGGTGGGAACTATTTCTACATCCTTCCTGTAATCCACATTGAATTTCTGCTTTAAATCAGTCAATGAGAGTCTCTTCCTCTATTCAGGAAGTGATCAGAATTTTTACTAAATGTGTTGCTATTACTCTTTGGGATTCTCTGTTTTATCAGAACAGAATTTGGTGACCTGTTACTTTGCATTTTTAGGCAGAAGAACTTTTTTTGTGGATCCCCAGAAAAATGCTGATGACTGTTGAATCTGCCAAAAATTCTGTGTTGGGTAAGTAATGATTTCCCACATAAGTGTGGATTCTGTAAAGTTATCTGCGATCATATGGGTTCACTCTAAAATGTTTAATATTTTCTGTAAGCAAATCAGGTTAAGAACCCATGGACTTTAGTTTACGTTGAGCTTTTTATTTTGGTAGTGGAGTGGAAAAAGATCAACTTGTGTTCATCAAGTTTAAACACCATATCCAACCTTGCAATCAGTTCTGCCACAAAGATTAAGGCTGTATTGCTGTAAAGGTGGCTGAGGCACGTAAGATAGGTAGACAGGGCGGTTAGGAAAGCATTTTGCATGCTTGCCTTCATTACTCAGACCATTGACTGTAGGAGTTGGGACGTCATGTTGAGGTTGTACAGGAAATTGGTGAGGATTCTTCTCTTGTAGTGTGTGCAGTTTTGGTCGCCCTGCTATAGGAAGGGTATTAATTCAGAAAAGATGTTGCCAGGAACGGAGTGTTTTGAGTTATAAAAATAGGCTTGATAGGTTCAGACTCTTCTCACTGGAGCAAAAGAGGTTATAAATCTTATTGAGGTTTATAAAATCATCAGGGGCATAGATAAGGTGAATAGCAATAGTCATTTCCCTAGGTTGGGGAGTTCAAAACTTGGGGCCATACTTTTTAAGGTGAGAGAAGAGAGTTTTAAAAAGGACATTAGGTACAACTTTTTTTTACACAGAGACTTGTTAGTGTGTGGAATGAACTGCCAGAAGAAGTGGTAGATTCAGGTATAGTTATAACATTTAAAAGATATTTGGATAAGTACATAAATAGGAAAGGTTTGGAGGGATATGGGCCAAACGCCCATAGTGGGACTAGTTTAGTTCGGGAATCTGTTCGGTGTGGACTAGTAGGACCGAAGGAACAAAAACAAAGTTGCTGGAAAAGCTTAGCAGGTGTGGCAGCATCTGTGAAGGAGAAAACAGAGTTAACGTTTCGGGTCTGGTGACCCTTCCTCAGAACTGATGGTGGCTGGGAAAACGTCAGTTTATATGCAGAAAATAGGGAGGTGGGTGGGGTAGGGAGTAAATGATAGGATAGAGCCTAAAGAGAGAGAAGAACAGTTGGACAGACAAAGGAGTTGATAATAATCAGGCTGGGAGGGTGAATAGTTGTTAATGGAGACTATTATTGACTAACAATAGGTAGTGTGTAATGGCAGGCTATGTGATAACAAGGCCTGGTGTATGGGGTAGGGGGCTGGAACATGGAAGTGTTTAGGTCCTAAAATTATTGAACTTGATATTGAGTGCGGAGGGCTGCAGGGTCCCCAAGTGGAAAATGAGGTGTTGTTCTTCCAGCTTGTGTTGAGCTTCGCTGGAACACTGCAGCAATCCAGAGACAGAGATGTTGGCCAGGGAACAGGGTGGTGCATTAAAATGGCAGGCAACAAGTAGTTCAGGGTCTTTTGTTGCGAGCAAAACGTAGATGTTCTGCGAAGTGGGCACCCAGTTTACGCTTCATTTCTCCAATGTAGAGGAGACCACATTGTGAGCAGCGCATGCAGTAGACTAGATTCTGGGAAGTGCAGGTGAAGTGTTGCTTCACCTGGAAGGTATGTTTGGGCCCTTGGATACTGGGGAAGGAGGAGGTAAATGGGCAGGTGTTGCACCTTCGTCGATTACAGGGGAAGCTGCTGTAGGGGGTGTTGGGGGTGAAGGAATTGTGGACCAGGGTGTCCCGGAGGGAACAGTTCCTGTGAAAGATGGACAAGGAAAGGGAGGGCAATATACGTCTGGTGGTGGCATCTCGCTGGAGGTGGCAGAAATGGCAGCTGATGATCTTCCGGATGTGGATTCTGGTGGGATGGTAGTTCTTTCGGTTTTTATTTAGTAGGACCGAAGGGTCTGTTTCCATGCTGTACGATTCTATGAAGGATATTTCAGAACACAACAGGACCTAATTAAATGAGCCGAAGGGCCGAAGAGTGGCAGATAGAGTTTAATTTAGATAAATATGAGGTGTTGCATTTTGGTAAGGCAAATCAAGGCAGGACGTACACACTTAATGGTAGGATCCTGGGGAGTCTTACCAAACAAAGAGGTCTTGGGGTGCAGCTTGGGGTGCGGAGTCACACTTAGATAGGGTAGTGAAGAAGGCATATTGTACACTTTCCTTTAATAGTCAGTGCGTTGAGTATAGGAGTTGGAATGTTATGTTGCAGCTGTACAGGATAAAATCCAAAAGAACTGTGAACGCTGTAAATAAGAAACAAAAACAGAAGTTGCTGGAAAAGCTCAGTTCTGAGGAAGGGTCACCAGATCTGAGACTTTAACTCTGATTTCTCTGCACAGATGCTGCCAGACCTGCTGAGCTTTTCCAGCAACATCTGTTTTTGTTGCAGCTGTACAGAACATTAGTTAGGCTACTTTTGGAATACTGCATTTATTCTGGTCACTCTGCTATCGGAAAGATGTTGTTAAACTTGGAGGGGTTCAGAAGAGATTTACAAGGATGTTGCTGGGGTTGGAGGATTTCAGCTATAGGGAGAGGCTGAATAGGCTGGTGCTATTTTCCCTGGACTGTCAGAGGTTGAGCAGTGACCTGATAAAAATTTATAAAATCATGAGGGATATGGATAGGGTGAATTATCAGGGTTTTTTTTTCCAGAGTAGAGGAGTCCAAAACTGGAGGGCATAGGTTTGTGGTGAGAGGGGAAAGATTTAAAAGGAACCTAAGGGACAACATTTTCACGCAGAGGGTGGTGTGTGTATGGAATGAGCTGCCAGAAGGAATGGTGGAGGTGGATACAATTACAACATTTAAAAGGCATGTGGATGGCTACATGAATAGGAAGGGTTTAGAGGGATATGGGCCAAATGCTGGCAAATGGGAGTAGATTAATTTAGGATATCTGGTTGGCATGGACGAGTTGGACTGAAGGGTCTGTTTCCGTGCTGTACAACTCTATGACTCTATAAGGTATGACATAAATGAAAATTCTCCCTCTCTAAATGTTTTCATGCATGATTATACATCTGATGGAGTGATGGGGAAACTAATCAATCCGTCGTCTTTCAAACCTATCTCCTGGATGCTTGCCTAGAGTCCCTACAATTTTGTCTTTTTTTTTAAATATTGAAAACTAAATGTTGAACTCAAGGAAGCAATGGGCCATAACTTGGTGTAGGGGTGAATCTAATAGCATCTGTTGTTAGTTAGACTCCTCCCTCCCTCACTCATTTACTCAGAGAGTAGTAAGGGCGTGGAATGCCCTGCCTGCGAAAATAGTAGACTCGCCCACTTTAAGGGCATTTAAATGGTCATTGGATAAACATATGGATGATAATGGAATAGTTTAGGTTAGATGGGCTTCAGATTGGTTTCACAGGTCGGCGCAACATCGAGGGCCGAAGGGCCTGTACTGCGCTGTAATGTTCTATGTTCTATGTTCTATATACCACAGATATTTTTAATCAGTCTTGAACTTGGGATTAGAAAAAAATACCCCAAAGAACTGTGGATGCTGGAAATTAGAAACAAAAACAAATTGCTGGGATGTTCCACAGATGCTGCCGGACTTGCTGAGTTTTTCTAATAATTTCGGTTTTGGAATCTCAGCCTTCCGGCTCAAAGATAGGGACACTACAACTGTGTCACAACCGCCTCAATCTAGAAGGTAAACTGTGATACACATTGCTTGAAATATAAACTGATTAAGTTGCCAGGAAGGGAAACTGCGTATTTGCGCAGTTAGTGAAAATGGTAACCAATTGTGCAACTTCTTAACCAGGCAGCTGATGAGATTGAGAAATTTCCAATACAAGGACTGACAAAGAAATCGAAAATTATACTTGCAAAGTTAATGCCAAACCAGGTACAGAGAGAGACTCAGTCATGGTCCTGTTGAATGGCAGAGCAACCTTGAGAGCTGAACTGCCTACACCTGCTCCTATTTCTATGTAAAACTGGATTTACAATTGAAAAATAGTGTCAAAGGAAAAGTTTTATATTTAAATTTCATGTGTTTAAGATATCCAAAATTTAAAGGTAAAAAGAATGAGACTCCACAATTTAGTTTATTTTTGGTGGCTGAAAGGATCTTTGGAAATAACTAATAATTAGCCCATTATGAAAGAATCACCTAACAGTTTATTCGGGCCTAATTGCATATATACCTACTTTAAATCACTGCAAAATAGGATTCCTGGCATCGTTACAGAATAGCACTAACTTTCTGTGCTGAGTTTGATTCATAAAACATGCTATAAATGCAATAAGGCCAGACTACTCAATACATTTTAATAGTGATGTAGATGAAAAGATGCAACTGTGAGAAGCTAATGGCAAAGCGGCATACTCGGACAGGAAGTTTAGGATGACTAACTCCACAACTGTCCTTGCCTGTCCTTGCTGTAGTATTTGGGTGTAAAATGTCAAAAAGCACAGAATCACAGAATTGGTACAGCATGGAGAGAAGCCGATTAGGCTATTGCCTGTGCATGGATTTTCCGAGAAAGCATTTCGCCCACTGCCATTCTCCTGCCTTCTCTTCACCAGTACTTTGGCAGAAGCTGAACTGGACCAGTCATTTAATACTGTGGATACAAGAGTAGGTCAGAGGCTAGGTGTTCTGTGGTGATTAGCTCATCGACTCTTTCCCCAGTCTGTCACCACCTACAAACCAAAAGTCAGAAGCATGATGGAATACTTTCCACTTGCTCGGAAGATTGGTGCAGATCCAATGGCACTGGAGAAAGTTAACACCATTCAAAACAAAACAGCCCAGTTGGCAGACATCCTATACACCATCTTGAACTTTCATTCCTTCACCACAAAATCACAGTGGCAGCAATGTGTACCATCTACAGGATGCACTACAGTAATTCACCAGGCTGTTCTTATATCACCATCAAAATCCACAACCTCTAACAGAGGCTGAATAGGCTGGAGCTTTTTTCCCTGAAGCATTAGAGGCTGAGGGGTGACCTTACAGAAGGAGCTGAGGGGTTACTTTTTCATGTGGAGGGTGATGTCTGTGTGGAACAAGCTG